ACATATATTCTCCAGCTTGAGGGGGAGTGTTAGAGTTAGCCGAATAAGGGTAGATTAGTCAACTCACCTTGGTTAAGTTATGAGCTTATGTGGCAGTCTTATTAGAGGTTCTCTGTCCCGTACTTAAGTAGGGGCAGTTTAGTCCTTGTACATTTAATTAGAGCCTAATCACTATTAAGAGGTTGACTGATAGGGTTTAGCTATAAGGTTCAACAGTTCTTTCATCTTCTTCTTCTTCTCCTCTTCTTCTTCTTCTCCTTCTCTTTCCTCTTCTCCTTACTGGTTCGGACTACTGTAGCAACAGTAGAAACAGTAAGTATAAAGCATATATGCTACTAAACTCAACAATCCATTAATGCTGGGTCAAGCAGTTAGGGCACTTAAAAGAGGACAAGAGGAGTTTCCAAATGTCTGAACATAGGTATAAGTGGAATTAAAAATTATTCATTGAAAAGATTGATCTTGTTGTGCGATTATTAGAACATGAAGGTGTATGCCAAATTCCTCCTTTAACTCCATCTGTTTATACCAAAAATTTTCTTGTTCGTAATGAACTTTTGTAATTATATCACTAAAGAGCTATTTTACCAATCAAAGAAACTGATATCTAAAATTTCAAAATTTCTGCTTAGAAGCTTAAGATTGGTACTGCTTGGTTTTTATTTTTCATCTCTTTTATTAGTTTATACATTCCTATATATTGGGTAATATTGGATGGATGGAAATGTTGCTAATCCATATAACCAAAATTGCAAAATAAGCACCTTACTTGGTAAGATATCATTGTTAAAAAAGATAAAGCATTATATGTAGTCCTGTGACTTGAACTCATTTGTTTGTTTCAGCATGTAAGAAATACTGCATAGCTCCTTATCAGCCTTATTGGATCATATCATAATTCTGTTAGTGTTTTTTCTTTATGACACTTTGAAGATACTTGAATGATATCGCATATTTCTTATCACAGGAAGTGAATTGTGGTCATAAAAATGGTTCCTTAGCTAATTTTAGGCTTGCATGTTTGTATATCTTTTTGCTATTTCAGTTAGAATGGTCATGATATGATTATTTTGTTGACACCATAAGGTCAAGATTATAATCTTTCTAAGTTTGTTTCCAGGGCACTCTGTGATAGTGGGACTGTTGAAATTATTGGACCAATTGCATCCACAGTTGAGGATGTAATGCTAGTGTAAGATTTTCTTGCCTTGTAAATGGAGTTTTAGTTACATTATATTTTGTTGCTTCCATGTCGAGTACTTCTCTTTTTTTGTGGTTCAAACTGGAGAATTTAGCTGAATGGTTAGGACTGGGATGGGCTGAAGGACTTGGGTGGAAGTAGTAAGAAATGATTTAGGTGCCCATAATTTGACGATGGATATGGTACTGAACAGAATGATATGGCCAAAATGGATTCATGTAGCCAACCCCATATAGTAATGACAAAGCATAGATGATGATGATGATGATGATGATGGTTAGGACAGGGACAGGCCCTTTTACTGTAGTTTTACGCTCAGTGTTTCATTAATGTATTCTTCCATGTTATATGTGCATTTTCCTTGAACCACCAAATATTATGATATCAAGATTTGTGTAGTTGCTTTTACCTCTTTAATCTATTGTTCGAGATACAAGCTGTACTGTGTCTAGGCTATTATCCACCCTTAGTGTGAATTACCATATTATTCATTGAAAAATTATCATTTATTTGGTGAAACAGGACTAGGGGCAGACCAAAAAGGACATGGGTTGAACTACTAAGAAATGATTTAAGTGCTCATGATTTAACAATTGATATGGCACTGGACAGAATGTAATGGTGAAACAGGATTCATGTAGCTGACCCCATATGTTTGGGACCAGGCATATGATGATGATGATGATATCTGGTGAAACATGTTCTGGCATAGTTATGTTAACATGGTTTCCCAGTATATGAATTTGTTCTGGTTTATTGGTTATTAGTTGTTTTATATGACAATATCTTCCTTCAATTTAATAGCTCATTTTTTATGCTATTATTCGTTCTCAACCCGTTGCTCTGGTTAGACTCTTAAGCGTAAATGCTTGGCCTACAATTTCCCATCCCAACTATTTTGGCTTGGTAACATTTTTTGAGAGAAAAAGAGCAACTGATTTTATTAAGAAACAAAAGATAGGCTAACATGAATCCTATTTTACCATTCCACCCCATGAAGGCCATATTTTTAAATTAATTCATAAGGTTCCAAGTCTTTTCTTACAATCATAATCACATTTTCTCCCTCTCCTTGCCCTATCTAGAGCTTCAAAGTGTGCCTAATCAGTTAATCTTGTTTGCAGTCGGCTTGACAAGACCATCTCTGTTGATTTTCTTTCATCTTGACACCTATTGGAGCTAGAGCTACATGGAAGTTCCAAGAATGCTTTCATTCTTTTATTTTATTTTTTCACAAGAAACTGGAAAATAGTGGAAGAATCCTCTGTGAGCAGTCCTATATAAGTGTTGAATGGAGGCCCTCACCTCAAACATACATCAAACTTAACTTTGACAGATGCAGTATAGGTAATCCAGGAGTTTTAGGGGTGGGAGGAGTTATGAGGAAAAGTGGAGGTAATATACTAGCTCCATTTTCAATTCCCATGGGTGTTGGGGATTCAACAGCGATCGAGCTATCATTTATCAAAAAAAAAGGGTTGAGCTATGTATAGTGTAGCAGGGATTAAAAAGAGCAAAGCAACTAAACTTCAAAAACTTAATCGTAGAAGGGAACTCAAGGATTGTAACAAGGTGGTTGCAAAACAATCAAAAGGGATCATGGAAGTATGGACACAAGCTACAGGATCTCTCATGCAAGAATTGGGTTCAAAGGTTGAATGAGTTCACAGATCTGTAAACAGCCTAGCAGATGGTTTAGCAAAACAAGGGGTAGAAAGAGAGTAGTGTTTGGGGTCTAGTACCCTAAGGGGGAAATCATATCCGATGTATTTCCCGGCTCTCTTTAATGTGGCTGCAAACAGGTCAGCCTTAGTTGCAGATTCTTTTGTTGGTGGAGAACAATAGGATTATATGGCCACCTTCCTTCAGGAGAAGTTTTAATGATTGGTAACTGGATTTGGTGGCCCAACTTTTTCAAGTCCTTCAAAGTCAACAGCTGAATCTGTAAGTTCAAGATGCAAGATGTTGGAAGTGGACAAACACTGGAGAGTTTTCTGTTAAATCCTTCCATATTGGTCTTGTTTGGTGAGGCAAGGGTTTTATTCTCAAGTAAGATCATTTGGGGGAATGCAGCTCCATCAAAAGTAAAATTCTTCCTATGGGTGGCTGTTTGGAAAAATGCTTGACAAAGTCCATGCTGTTGAAGAAAGGTTTTAATGTTCCAGATTTGCTTTGTGTTTTCTGTAACCAAGAGGAGGAGACTTCTAGCCACTTGTTTCTGCATGTAGATGTTAGTGCTTCAATCTGGCACTATTTTCTTGGAGCTATAAACTTGCATTCGAGTACCCCTGGGTTGGTGAATGAACTGTTAGAAGGCTGGCAAGTCCCAGGTATGTCAAGAAAATGGAAGATCTATTGGTTCTATATTCCAGCTGCAATTTTGTGGGCCATTTGTCTCGAAGAAACTGCAGAATTTTTGAGCAGAAGTCAGCATCAGAATCAGTGGTGATTAATGCAGCAGTACGGTTTTTAAAGGGCTGTCTGTCTGTCCATAATGTATTTAGAAATTATATTTTTCTTCTTTTTTGAGGGTGGGTTTTTTGGGGAGTCCTTAATTGGATGTCATGTGCATTTCTCATTGTGCTGAGGACCATACTTTTGATATCAATACATTATTCTATACTTAACTTTTCTAAAAAAGAAAATTCATCACATATTGGGGTGTATTGGGCGTACCGTATCATTTTGATAGCACCCCAATATGCCTAAATAAAAAACATATTGGGTTTTTGGCAATTTCAGGATGTAGTCAGGCCAAAGACCAACCCCCTAGACTTTTGCAAAAAAAACTAAAGGCTTGCATGCTTTGGAAACACCCAATATGCAAGGTTTGTGCATATCAGGTGTATCAATATTTTGAACCTTGCTTGTATTTACACTTATTTATTCACTAATTAATAAAGTTTTATCAGTTACTGATAAAAAAGGTAATAATGTTTTCATTTTTAATTTTAGCCTTTCTCGTCTTTACACCTGTCCATTTCAACATTCTGATCTAAGTTATGATCCTTCTATGAGAATCTTGAGTATCTCATATTCTGTAATCTGCTTTCATTTGTATTCCTTCATTATTTCTGCTTTTCACTGTTGTATGCTTTCATTCCCCTTTCTTTTTCCATTATTACTTGAATGAAGTAGATTTATGTCAGATTTATCAAAGAAGTTATTCATGATTAAAATGGTCTGCCAATCCATTTTCTCCAATATCCCCAAAAGAAGAATAGGTAATTTGAAAAATAGTGATGGGTGCTTGTTATGTCTGCGAAGTTTTTTTATTTATTTATCTTAAAAAAAAGTACTCCCAATCACAGCTTAAAAAAGAAAGAGAGAAAAGAGCCTTTCTTTCCAAATTGATCTTTTAAACCCAGTCCTCGGTGGGCTGAAATAATTTGTTTAAGAAAATGGCCTGCAGTCCATTTTAGTGAACAACAGGCCCTAAGTTAATTGGGCCCTATTATGATGTAGTAAGCATTTAATGGACCTGCAGTAGAGCCCATTAATGGGACAGCGGGCCCTAAAAGAATTAAATTTTATATTAATTAATCATCTTTTTAGGTGCCCCATTTATTTATAAAAGGGATGCCACTTTTCTTATCCTAACAAGAGGGCTATTTTCCTTCTTCTAATCACTTTAAGTGGGATGACAGGTGTCACCCTAGGAAGAGGAAATTATTTTCCCTCTTTTAACCACTTTAAGTGAGGTGAGACATGTCACCCTAGGAAGAGGGAGTAATTTCCCCCCCTCTAACCACTTTAAGTGGGGTGACACATGTCACCCTAGGAAGAGAAGATTCTTTTCCCTTCTCTAGCCACTTTAAGTGGGGTGACACATGTCATCCTAGGAAGAGGGAGTTACTTTCCTTCCTCTAACCACTTTAAATGGGCACCCTAAGAAGAGAGGGGTGGGGAGTTACCTAACCATCTCCCTCCTCTATATAAACCCCTCTCCTTGTAGGAGAGAGAGGGATAATGCCATATTGTTGGCTAATACTACTTTGAGTAGAAATTGCTGATAACTGATTTTGATGTATGCTTTGTGAAGAAAAGTAATAGAAACTGAAAGGTTTCAGCAAGAGAGAAAGAAAGAGAAGAAAAGAGAGTTGGACGTCGCCATAATTGAATAGATTTGGCCGCCAACCCCTCTTGATTTATATACTTGAAATAAAAGAATGAAACATTACAAAAATACCCTTAGTAGGGTGGCTACTTTAAGTAGCTAAACAGTCACAACTTAAAATAACATTAACTAATGGGCCTAAGGCCCAATAACTTCCTAACTTAATAACTTAAATAAAAATAAAACAAAGCTGGGCTTAATAACTTAAAATCGGCCCAAACTCAACACTCCCCCTCAAGTTGGGAGTAAATGTCAAACATTCCCAACTTGCGTGGATCATGCTCCAACTTGTTTCTTGCAACACTTTTTGTAAGAACATCAGCAAGTTGCAAATCAGAAGCAATGTATGGGAGACAAGCTTCCCCTGAAGTCACCCTTTCTCTTATGAAATGTTTGTCCACTTCAATGTGCTTTGTCCTGTCATGCTGAACTGGGTTGTGGGCAATGTTAATTGCTGCATGATTATCACAGTACAACACCATAGGTTCTTCTGCCTCAATACCAATTTCTCCTAACAAGGAACGGATCCAGAGAAGCTCTGAAACTCCATGTGCCATGGCTCTGTATTCAACTTCTACACTTGACCTTGCCACAACTGTCTATTTCTTACTTTTCCACGAAACTAGATTGCCCCCAACAAGAGTGCAAACTCCTAATGTAGATCTCCTGTCATCAAGGCATCCTGCCTAATTAGCATCTATGTAAGCCTCTAGCTTCAACTATCCATGGTTAGCAAATAGTATGCCTCTATCTGGGTGTCCCTTCAAATAGGCAAGAATCCTATCAACAACCTCCCAATTCTAGACTCGTGGGGCATGCATGTATTGACTCACCACACTCACTACATAAGAGATGTCTAGTCTTGTCATACATA